GAGGTCGGGGCTGGAGGAGGGCCATTCGTTCGCCGCAATGAAGGCCGGCACATTTTCCTTCAGCCAAGCTTGGGTGGTTTTAGCCTTATGGGATGGCGCCGAGTCTTGCTGGAAAACCCAATACTTGTTATGGAATAGGGTATTAGACAGGGGTTTCACAACAGTCTCTAGAATGTCACTTTGATAATTTTTGGCTTTCACCTTGACGCCTTGTTGGCAGAAATGAAGCTGAGTGACACCTTCGTACGAAACTCCCCACCATACCATGACACTAGCCGGATGATGAGTATGCGAGACATTCCGTGCTGAAGTTGGGACATCCTTGCTACTTTTGGCATACACTTTATTGTTTTGTCGATTGAACTTTTCTTCGACGGTAAAGATTTTCTCGTCGGTGAAGAGTATCTTCCTCGCATCGTGTCTCCTAAGCAGTATTGGACAACGTTCGCGTCGCAAATGACGAAGGCGATCGTTTAAAAAGTGTACTTTTCTACGGCTATACGCTTTAACCTTGAGATCATATTTCAGTATTCTGTTGACTGAAACGCGCGAAATATTGGTCTGCAGAGCGAGTTTCTTCTGAGTGCGACATGGATTTCGGCGAAGTCGCTCTCGGATGATTTTAATGTTCGCAGGCGTCCTCACAGGGCGTGGACGACCACTTCTTTGCCGATCATGTAAAGAACTTGTCTCCTGGTATCGTTTAATAGTGTAATACACGAAGTTACGGCTCACACCAAAAGTTTTCAGTTCTCGGAAAATGTCCATAGGTTTTCTTCCCACCTTAAATAATGAAATGACGGTCGCACGTAATTCTTTTGTTCCCTCCATTACGAGAAAATTTAAATAAAATAATCCGAAATCATAGATATTAAAAGTTAACATTCCAAATTCAAAATTAGAAAAAGAAATATACAGCAGCCAGTAATTTTTATTTTATTTTTATAAGCAAAAAGTTTGTCTCAAAACTTATGAACACACGAGGTATATATCTAGGTATGGTAATTGTTAATGGCAGATACTAATATTGAAAAATATTACTATCTGCCATAATCATCAACTAAATACTCGTCATTTACTTAAAGCTCTGAATATTTAAGTGTGCCAAAAATTACTTCAAATTAAGTATTATTTGACTGCACCTGTTATTTACAAAATGTTCTGTAAAATGAAAGCATAATCTCCATTGCGTATTCAACTCCATGGTGCACATGTTCGTGGTTTTGAATACGAAGTAGTGTAATGAAATGGACCTTAATTGTCACTTCATAAGCGCGGACCAAACAAGTGACGAAATCAGGCTGAAACTAAACCATGCTGCTCGGTTCCAAACGTTTCAAAAGAGGAATTTGCTTGCATTATGACTGTGACTCAAAAATTTCAATATTTGGTCATCTTTCCTCGGAAATTATGTACTATTTATAGTGTTATGTTAAACAATGTTAGTTCTAAAACTTCACTGACAAAGTTTGGAGATTGTCATTGAAAATAAAATTTTTTTTGAGACGCATTGACCTTGTAATTTCAATGAGAATATCGTATACACGTGTTCTATCAGATTACATAATAAATAAATGCAATGTGCGTTGTGTGTCAAAAACGTTGACTATGGGTTCATTTTATATTTTTTTATGAACTGTAATCGTAATAATGTAACTGTAATAAACAATGTATTACTATGCTTCACTTGCCACACTTTTATACCGCTTATTATTAGGAATAAGAATTCGTTCGGTCATCAAATTATTCTGGTCTTAATTAGGTGTCAAATTCAGCCGTGAAACGTAATGAATTTATTCTCCAATAGCTCGTATTACGTACTTGTATTATATTTACAATTAGATTAGATATGCATAATATTTCTATAAGTAGTACATATGTAAAAATTGTTATAGTTACGTCAGTACAAGAAAGTTTAGAATTCGATTAATATAGTGTAAATGTTGTTTGAAGTTTGCGAGGTGAGTTATTGGGTCGCACAGTCCGCTCAAGTGTTAAAGTAGCTCACAAACTTCTAATCTCGTCATTTCATCTTCGAAGATATTATACAACATTGAAAATGAGAGAAGTTAGTATTTTTATCTGATATTCATCGTTTCTTCGACCCTCACTGTTTTTAATTACAAAATTTTCATATTATTATGATGAAAATTTGATATGGTAGTACTTAAATTGGTTTTTAAGTTGACACGTTGTTCGGAACACTGTGAAACTATCCCAGGCCTTGTCAGTTTACTTCAACCGCGTATCTAATTGTTCCATGACGCTCAACATGGATTCTGCTAAAAGATGCGTATACATATGTGATACATGTATAAACATATTCATTTAGAAAAGTGTCCGTTCGGAGACATTACGAACATAATTTCGTCTCCTCTGTTTAAAATACTGAAAAATCTTTAAAACACTTAACACCTATAACAGAATTTGGAGACTCTAAAACATATATGTTTTTATAATCAGTACAAGTTCTTTTTTCAACTATTCTGCATAGAATGGCTTATTGTTCAAGAAATCTCACAATGCAGTAAAAATAATAAAATATAAATGTTTGGTCAGTTTTGAGTATCTACAGGCTTAAGAAAATTAAGGTCGTGTTCTATTTTTTAAAATTCTGCTCATGGCAATTGAAGATGAAGGTTTTAGCTCGATGTAACTGAGATAGAACAAATCTATCAGATATCCTCGAATAATCGTTACACCAACATCGATAAGGTTATCTCCCATGACCACAAGGTATTCTGACATTACCATACATGAAAATGAAGTCTGCGCTAATTGAATATGTATGGGTAGGGTACCACATGAAATTCAAGACGTTTCAATTCTATGGAATGACTACATTATAGAACAGATAGACCAGTTGGTTATAAAACAAAAATCATTTTATGGCCGAACCGACATTGCCGACATCGGGCCATTTTTCTAACCATATCTTTTTTCTTTCCTCATTACTTTTTCTGCCTTTGAGCTTCTTGACCAAGTTGAAAGAGAAAGACTTAATAATAATGTTGTAAATTCGATTGCAACTTCAAATTAGTGTGTTGATTGTAATCAAATTCCGTATGAATATAGTTTGAAGCAGTCTTAGAAAAAGCTATTTGATAACACAATATTTGTACAGTCGTTACTTACGTTCCGGATTGCGCCCAAACTATTTCTTCAGAACCTACAGATGGAATTAAGTCTTCGACCGCTTATGTGTCTCTTAATATCCAAATACTCGAACGCTACTTACTCCAAGTCGCGCTTATATATAGTTCTGTCACTACAACTTCTTTGTAAAATAACAGAGAAGGTACGATATTTAAGTACACTTCAGTGTTCGGGCGTGAATCGCTAAACATAAAATCATACTGAACAAACTAATATATTAAATGCTATTCTCTATAAGGAAGGCTACTTCCAAAGTCAGGATTTCAGTCTATGAATTGTTAAGGTTTTGGTAGATATTCAGACTAAGGACAAACGAGGACAGAACTTACAGAGAATATTTATTTTGTTATACAACGAATAATTTAAACGCGGTACCTCTAGTTGTGAACTTAAGTCCTTTTGTAATACAGAGTCTGTATCCGTTTTTTAATATTCCTATAATCAGAGAATACCTATATGGCTGTCTGCCATATATAACCTATCATTGATTTAAAAAAAAACTTTGCAGTCGCAAAGAAACCTATGACAAATTGGTCGATTAAATGCAAGGCGACAAAATTTATAAGTCGGCCCTGAATCAATCGCATGAATAAATCGAATGGCAAATCTGATAGCATTACTTAGATGTCAACTGTTTTGCCTTGCAGCTAACTATAATATTGGTAAGCTGAAGGTTTTCTGTGCGCAAACTATCATTTTCATCAGTTGACTAAATTGAAAAACGTCGTTCTGAATTTCCAAAAGAAAATGATTTTTTTTTATACTTCCGTCATTTTCTTTCTGTTTCATGTATATCTCGAAAGTCATAAATAAGAAAAAGTAGGAAGCTGAACATTAATATGTATTGAGAGATAATTATTTTCAAGGCTATCCTATACGTAAGAGCCGCTATAGGCCTAACGGGTTGCCGACGCCGGCTGCAAGAGCAGGAACGAAGACACAGGGTGGTTTTCAGTCAGTAAGACTACCTCCCGCTTAAGCCAAGGCGGGAGAAGGAACTGGATGATTTTCCGCCCCTAAAAAAATCCTATACGCGTATCATTGCTAAAGTGGCAAATATACGACCCCAGATTATATAAAATTATTTGAAATGATTAAGTGAAAGCGAAACATTTCGCTGTATTCTATTGAAACTTGTATTTATTGTGCTATCTTTTATATGAGGAACACGTGGACATCGCTACCTTAATCGGATTTGAAAGGCGGTACACAACAAACAAAACAATTGTACGTGGCCGCCGCACTTCGTCCCGCTTCGCAACCGTTGTGTGTCGCTAATTTTCCACTATATTGAATTGAGAGACTAGAAGAAAAGTATCCATTTAGTGTTTAGAATCTGTCGAACTATTTACGAACGAATATAAAAGGCCCCATTTCTACAACCGGCATTAACAACACTCCCGCAAATCTTAACGCAAAATGGTTTCTAGTATTCCGTACAATTTTCTTAATAAAATTTAGTCTAATAATTTCACTAAACTTCCATGAATTAGGAAAGTCAATACTCGTTACTATGTAACTTTCATTTTAATACTAAGAATAACGTATTATTATATTATAATGTTAAGTATATTTGCCTGAACGTTTACTCAGTGTGGTCTTTAGTATAAACTTGCAATTATTTATTCGTGCGAACGACAAAACTAGATTTTAATGAGATTTGATCCAACTCTAACGTAATACATCAATGTCTAGATAATTAGTGAAAACCTTTTAGATATTTATGTCCTTTGAGCGAGCAGTAATATGTGGCTTGAAGTTTAAAATTGTCTCTTTTGGTCTCTTTAAATTCTTACGCAGTTCGATACCTGACTTTAATCGTGAATGCTTATTGAAATTGTACCGTCGGTCAATATGATGTCGGGAATATTTGTATGGTGGCGGGTAGATAGTTATATTTATTTAATAAACCAGTTTACTGCTAACTCTCGCCTATCATTGACGCTGCATTGGCGACGAGGATTACAATTTATCCGTTTTAAGATTCTCAATACGCGTGTAGTTTTGTATTGTGTCAGTATTAAGATGCCTATTGGAAAGTTAGAACCGTTTAACTTAAGTTCTAAGCAGTGGCCGGCATATATACGGCGGGTTAATCAGTACATTTTACTGAACGACGTGAAAGATAACCTAAAAGTGCCGATGCTAATAACAATCGTGGGCGAATCTACGTATTCGCTGATGTGTGACCTGTGTTCTCCTGACTTTCCTGAAAATAAATCTTATGAAGATCTAGTGAAATTAGTGGCAGATCACTTGGAACCGCAGCGATCCGAGATCGCCGAGCGCCACGTGTTCCGGTTGAGACGACAACGTGCTGGCGAGCCCTTGGCTGAGTACTTACAGGCTCTCAAACATCTAGCAACGACTTGCAACTTTGGCATATGTAGGAAGTGTTCTAGTCTGGAGGAAAACCTGAGAGATCAGTTTGTTTCGGGCTTGGCAAATGACGCAATGCGTTCTAGAATCTTTGCCGAAAGGAAGATAGAATACAAGGAGGCGGTGGAGTTAGCACTAGCTCTGGAGGCCGCAGAAAAGCACGCGGAGGTGAGCGGCAGCACGGGCCTGCCGACTACGACCTCGGGTGCCGGCGGCGACGCGGGTGAAGACCTGCACTATACGCGCGGGGCGCGCGGGCGAGGACACGCTCGCGGGGCGCGCAGCGCGGGCGCAGCGGGTGCGCCGGAGCCGGCTGGCGCGGAGGGCCCGGCTCGGGGCGCGGTGGCGCAGGCATGCTGGCGGTGCGGTAAGGCGCATCGCGCGGACAGGTGCCGGTATGTAAACTATAATTGTGATTTGTGTAAACAAAGAGGTCATTTGCGAGTGATGTGTAAATTTGTGAAAAATAGTGAAACTCAGCAAAACTATATCAGTGGTGAGGAAGATTGTGGCGATATTTTTAATATTGTGGGTAGGCGTAAGGACAATAAACCGTATTTCATTAATGTAATCATAGATAACTTCGAAACTAAGTGCGAAATTGATACTGGTAGCCGCATTTCGGCTATTAATGAAGAAATGTATTCCCGCCAATTTGCTCATAAATCGATTAAGGCAGATAATTTGATATTACGTAGTTACGCCGGTTCACCAATTGTATCACTTGGTTATATTGAAGTTAAAGTTAGATTACAAAATGTGGAAGTGAATTCCTTGCCCCTGTATGTAATTAAAAACGGAGCACGTCCTTTATTAGGAAGAGACTGGTTGCGCGCCCTTAAAGTAAATCAAATTAATCTATATAAAATAACCGATGATCAATTTGTGAACCGGTTATGCGCGGAATTTCCGGAAGTATTTACAGATAAGTTAGGGACGTGTAAGCGAACCATTCAATTACAACTGACTAGCGAAGAACCTGTGTACGTCCGAGCGAGGCCCGTGCCTCTGGCGTTGCGCGCGCGCGTCGAGCACGAGCTGGCGCGACTGGAGGCCGACGGCTCCATATACCGCGTCGATTACTCGGACTACGGAACGCCGATAGTTCCGGTCGTAAAAAAAAATGGAGATATACGAATATGTGGAGATTATAAAATTACAATCAATCCTAAGCTAAAACGTGATTATTATCCTTTACCCCGCATTGAGGAGTTATTTGCGAACTTAAGCGGAGGGGAGAAATTTACCAAAATTGATCTCACTCACGCTTATGAACAGTGTCTCTTAACAAAAGAGTCACAAGCTTATACAGCGATCACAACTCACCTGGGGACATATGCCTATCGCCGTACGCCATACGGTTTAGCATGTATACCAGAAAAATTCCAAAAACTAATGGAAGAGACCTTGCGTGGTATACCTGGTTGTGTCGTGTTTTTAGATGACATATGTACCACCGGGACTAATGATAAAGAGCACATAAGTAATTTACGAGCGGTACTCGCAAGGTTACGTGACACAGGTTTAACAGTTAAGTTAAGTAAATGTAGTTTTTTACAAGAAAGTGTTAAATATTTAGGTTTTATCATTGATAAAAAGGGGTTACGGCCCGACCCTGCCAAACTGGATGCTATTTCCAGTGCACCCAGGCCGGAAAATATAACACAGCTAAAAAGTTTCTTAGGAATGTTGAATTATTATGGAAAGTTTATTAGTAATTTAAGCACGTTATTATATCCTTTACACAAATTGTTAAAAAAAGATATTCGCTGGCAGTGGGGTCACAGTTGTGAGCAGGCGTTTATAGAAGCTAAGCGTGCTCTCCTGGGCGAGCGAGTACTAGCACATTATGAAGAGGGGCGACCGCTTGTGCTTGCGGTCGACAGTAGTGCGTATGGGCTAGGCGCGGTGCTGGCACACCGCTATTCTGATGGCAGTGAGCGCCCAGTTAGCTGTGTGTCTCGCACTTTGAACGCAACCGAGCAAAATTATAGCCAGCTAGATAAGGAGGCGCTCGCAATATTGTTTGGTGTAATAAAGCATCATCAATACTTGTTTGGCAGAAAGTTTATATTACGCACGGACCATCAGCCGTTAACGCACATATTCGGTAATAAGGGTGGCATACCACAGACAGCGGCTAGTCGGCTACAGCGCTGGGCGGCACGCCTGGCCGCATACGACTTTACGATTGAATTCGTGCGCTCAGCGGACAATGGACCGGCCGATGCATTATCTAGGCTGCCGTTGCCTCAGGAGGGTCGTTTGGTGGATGCAGTAAATTATATTAATTTGATAGAGGATTTTTTTCCTATTAGTTTTAAGGATGTAGCTCGAGAAACTGAAAAAGATTCATTGTTAAGTAAGATAAAGGGTTTTGTAAATTTTGGTTGGCCGTTGACGGTGAACGACACTGAGAAACCATATTTTGTAAGAAAACAGGATTTGTCTGTAGAATTGGGCTGCCTCATCTATAGGTATAGGATTATAATTCCCACTTCATTACGAAAACAAGTTTTAAATGAAATCCACGAAGGTCATTTGGGTATGAATAAAATGAAGAACTTGTCGCGAAGTTATGTGTACTGGCCCAATTTAGATAAGGACATAGAGGACTTGTGTCGTGCGTGTACGGCGTGCGGCGTGGTACGCGACGCGCCGCCGCACGCGCCGCTGCACCCATGGGAGTTCCCGCATCATCCCTGGCAGCGCGTACACGCGGACTTTGCGGATTGTGGGGGAACACGATATTTAATCATGGTTGACGCGAACTCTAAATGGATCGAAGCCATTGCTATGCGAAAGACGGACGCGCAAGCGACTATCGCAGTAATGAGAAGTATTTTTTCTCGGTTCGGGTTACCGTCACTACTCGTCACCGACAACGGTCCTCCATTTTTCTCGCAGGAATTCAAAACGTTTTGCCAAAAAAACTGTATAAAGCACGTGACCTCGGCTCCTTACAGACCGCAGGGAAATGGAGCTGCGGAAAATGCGGTAAAAACCGTTAAGAAGGCGATCAAACGCGCTAAGTACGAGGGGGAGGACGTTGCCACAGCCCTAAATAAATTTTTATTTCAATACCGAAACTGTCAACACTCAACCACGGGTGTTTCTCCTGCAGTAGCGTTGCAAGGACGTAGGCTCCGTGGCCGCCTCGACGCACTTCGGCCTGACGTGTCGACTGTTGTGCGCGCCGCTCAAGAGCGGCAGGTAGCCGCGGCGGGCGGAACGCCGCGTATCCTGGCGCCTGCTGACGCAGTGCTGGCGCGCGACTACACCGCGAGAGGGGAAAAATGGGTACCGGGTACCATAGTCGAACAGACTGGACCCGTCTCGTACAAAGTTGACATAGGGCGCGGAGAAAATTTGCGAAGGCATGTTGACCAAATTATGCCTATAGGCAACAAGAATCGCCATTCGTTATCCCGCACTAGCATAGTTTCTAGGGATAATGATGTAGCATCTGAGCAGGAGACCCCTTCGGTTTGTGAGGAGTCTGGAAACACATTTGAGGATGCGTCGGATGGTGTTGGTGAGAAACTACAAACTACTGGGTCTGAAACAATCTCGAAGTCGAGAACATCGCCACCACCACCCGGTGCGTCTGCCCGTGCTCTGCGAGCATATAATCGGGCTCGGCAGGAACCTATAGATTAAGATGGTATTAGTGTTTAGTTACTTAGCGTGTAAGGGGATAAGTTTATAGCTTAAGGGGGAGAAATGTACCGTCGGTCAATATGATGTCGGGAATATTTGTATGGTGGCGGGTAGATAGTTATATTTATTTAATAAACCAGTTTACTGCTAACTCTCGCCTATCATTGACGCTGCAGAAATGACTATATTTGTATTTTGTATGCTTCCTGAAGTCTTTAGGGTTTATATTCCGCTGATAACTGAAAATAATTTTGTTCTCAAATGACTACATTATCTACTTTTTTGTTTGGAGGCGCTTTTGTTGAGAAATACTCCCTTAGTAACGAGGAAAATTACTTCATTGCCATGGAAAAATCCATGCCTTCTCTTATGAGAGTAAAATTATTATGTTACTGTATTTTACATGCGAAGCCTGCGTCGGATGAGAGCTACCTAGTTGAATTAAATCTAATCTAATAAATTGGAATTAAGATTAAAACTGCATTATCTTTGCTTAGATGGTATTTTTTTCCGTCTTTCCATTAGATTTTTTGTTTTAAGCCCTTTTTATTAAGATAACTATGTCGACAGTACGAATCATTATTTGTACCTCAAATTCTCATTGGTAACACGCTAAATTAAATGTATTAATAAAAGCAATCAGGACACCGACTCCGTACCTTGAATCATTATTTCAAAATTTAAGTCTTTGTAATTGACTAACTGATTAAGTAAATCATTTTTTGTTATTTTTTTTGTTATTGATCTTATTTTGTTAATTTAATTAAGTCCGTTCGCATGTTTACAAAATCTAGAAAATAAGGGAAGCCTATTATTAGCCTTAATCTCTGTAATTCACGCAAACTTTTGTAAACTATATGTAAAGCTGTTGGTTTTCTAAATAAATAAAATAAAAAAAAATTAAGTAAAATTGTAACGAATTGAGCACATTCTTAAATACAGACATTTTAAGTGTGGGAAATATTTGTTTTGGCACGAATGGGCCGGCTAGACTGAAGTGATACCACGGCTTTACAGAAAACCCACGTGAAACAACACTTCGTTGTTTCGTCGTGTCGGTCAATACGGTAGTTGACAGGTAGTCAAATTCAATACTTTTATTGAAATGTTAAAAACGATGCTTTTCTATGAATTTTGTATTGCATCGCAAATTATGCCGTCATCATATTTCTGCGTCAAATAGCATACTTATTTTCATAAAATAGCGAGAAAAATCCAAAAGTAGATAAATTGTGAAATCAATGGAAGAGAGTATGATTATTTTTTAATTACGTATTGTATTAAAAAGTTTCAACAATTTATTTTCAACCTAGGAAACTAGCCAATTACCGGAGGCTCAATTAGGTCGAATCCCCAACAATCCTCAAATTGCTAATCACCAAAAGACCGGTAACGTACTTGTAACACTTACGGTGTTTCGTGTGTCCATGGGCGGCGCCGATTGCTTACCATCAGGTGATCTGTCGTTTCGTTCACCGGCTTATTTCATTAAAAAAATGACGCAAAAGTGACTATAACAATATAAAAATATACAACTCGGTCCCTTGGTGAAGGTGCACTTTTCCTATTTGTGATTTCGATGCCGGTACAAATCCAATCCGTTGTTAAATTGCTTTCACTGTGTTATCGAGGATTTTATACAAAAGTTAGATTGACTAGATTGACTGGCATCCAGTGAGCTGATATATAGATGTTTTCCATAATAATGGATATGAAAGCTAGTCTATTTGTGCATACTAAGTAAATACATGTTTATGTCAGTCAAGCTTGTGAGCACAGCTTGCCTTACCTACGTGTTCAATTTCTAGGCATCTTCGTAGGGAAACATTCAATAAAATACTATATTTTTCATAAATACGCAAAAAGACCGTCTAAAATTATATGTAGGAACTAGGAACGAACTTAAAATAAGCAAACGAACTTAATTGCCAATGTCCGGTTTCTTCAACCTGTAACCGCGATTTCTTCTGCGTATAATATTCTAGAAAAGTTTATTTTCAATATTTAATACACTGTATCTTCACGGGGGCTCGGGCAGTCACTATTGACAATTCAGAACTTACTGACGTACTATTTTTAACAGTCTCTATTTATCATACGATCTCTGTAGTGTTTCAAGTTCCATTCTTAAGATTAAAATTAGTCTATCAATGTATTTCATGAACAAATTTAACCACGATATTGTCCAAGTCATCGAACCAATAATATAATTGCCTATTCGATAATTTTTGGAAGATAATCTGAATTCTGAATTAAATCTGAATAAAATCATCTCATTGTAAATTCCGATTGAGATTATTTAACAATTGCCAATATTCTGAACTTCGCTCCTGCCTAACATTCAGAAATATCTATGTTAATACAATTTCCTGATTTGGTAGGTAATCTAAATTACATATTTAGAATAAATTCTTAATGCCCCTGTGAGGCGTGCGTCAAAATATGCAGGTAAATATATTTTCTATCATAATGTAAGCCAAATATAAACAACATTTTAAAAGATGTTTCGGCCATGCTCTGGTTATATATACCCAAGTGTAACTATCACAACTATGCCAAATCTGTTATTGTATAAATTAAATATGTCGGTTGCCCCATCGTTAATTCATTAAGACATAGATTAAAGTGTTATGTGTGTACAGTTCCGAACAATTTTGAGAAATTAATTAAAAGTAATAATTATTATGTTAATAAGACATATACTGACAATTCGCTACGACGCGACGCGACGCAGCACCCGCGTACGGAAAGTGTTATAGTTAAGTCATTTTTATTGGCATACGGCAGAAATAAATAACCTATTTCAATCCAAAATATGTGGATTACGATAGAAACTATGGATTTTTATTATGGTAAAAATGTTGGTTTTTTAAATTTGGTTTTATACTACCTATAATTATGTCTCCCTTGTCCCAGGTTGTAGGTTGCATACTTCCATAGGTCTCATCACAATCACTTGGATTGCGGTAATTTTGTTTTACGGTCGAAATTAATGTCGATTTTATCTGCTTGTATTAGGTATTACTAAGCTCGCTACAGGTGTAGCGAGTTATGTAATAAATTACACGTGGTTCTAATTGTTGTATCATCCTAAGGAAACTCATGAAAAAGATGATCTTTCAGTAATTATTGTGCCATGACCCTCCAGTTGATTTGGTGATGGAAGTAGAAGTTGTGGAACCGTAAGCTACGTGCTAGTAATCTTAATCGTAATTATGCTCATTAGATAGATATATCCTTTTATCCTTGTGACGATATGGTAATGTTTACAAGCGTGTTTTTAGTTTTCTTACCTATGAATTTATCAAATCAATTATAACCGCTTTCATAAAGATAATTATATAAAAAAAATATAATTGTGAAAATACACGAACAGATTTTTCAGCAACTTGTAGGTACTTAATCTTTTGATTTTTAGAACAGAAACAATACATACATTAAATCTCGATCATGCATTGTTTTGCTTGTAATTATTTATGATCGTAGGTAAATAGTACGCGAGAAAGAGAGGACCGATTTCGAATGGCCGGAACTTTCAAAGATAGTTTTACAAAGTTAAGACATCTTCTTGGTGGGGATAAAACTCCACCCACCGTAACTAAGACTGGCCGATGATATTTATAGTATCTCTTTTTTTCAGGTGAAATTAAATGCCATGGACCTGGGGCTGGGTCATGCTGGCTGTGACAACGTATACCCTTTGTGAAATAATTCGTAATCCTTGTTCGCGTATTGGCCAAAGCGAGGAGAAGACGCCACGTGTGGGCCTGCGTACACCCGGGGGCGGGCGCTTTGCGCCGCCCCACTACTGCATCTGTAAGTGCATCCCTTGTATACAATACGCGCACACACACTAGCAAACCGTTTCCATGGCAATGTAGTTCACCCAGCCAACCCTTACCTGCCATTTGCGAGCGCCATTATTCAAGTCGCGGCTGAGCTAGGCGCCGGTCGCCGGAGCTCGCGACCGAAATGTCGCCGCGGGTTTTAATTTTTCCAAGTTATAGTTCTAACGTTTTAAGAATTGTGTCGGGGTGAAACTGAACAGTTTTTAAATTTTATTTTTTATTTCGTTTTAGTTATTATTTCTTTTTATTTATTTTATTTTTAATTTACTTTAATTTAAAGTAAATTTATTTTTTGTGGTGGTGAAAGACTTTAACAAAAGACAAAATGTGCCTGCAACATTTTAGCAAGTATTTATCTGTACACAGGTTAGTAAACTTTTTAATTCCACAGCGATTGTTACCTGTTGCGAACTTTATCCTTATTTTTCTTAATTTATTTTTTTATTTTTTCTATGTGCAATATTTTGTAAATCGGCTTGGCATTGCATTGGCAAAAGTTAGGTGTTTTATAAAACTAGTGTATGAAATCAGTGCCCGGGGTTTTATGTGACGTCAATTAGTGCGTCTCTTGATAGCGGGAAAATAGGTCAAGCTTGGCAACACGGGACCTAGGGGGTGGCTGTGTGGGTACTGTGGGTAGAGAACTCCCTCACTGTAGTTACGTTCTAGCCGGGCTTGTCCTATATTTTCAGTTGCACAGATTTCAATTTGAAATGTGATTTCATTTCCAATTATAACTAAAATTTCATCATTCGCGCAAAGCTTCTACAAAACACTGCGAATTATTTGTGTACGCCAGCTTAGGATTTATGGGGTATATTTAAAATTATTCTATGTCCAAAGAGTAAGTCTTTCTGTGTTTAGAGTGAAAATAAAATACAGAAGGTCTTGAAAAAATGCTAGCGGCGTTGTGATTGCACTCCGGTAAAAGTATCGAATTTAAATTTACAACGGTCACAGAAATATGTATTTTTTGAAAATGGGGTTTTAGGATTTTATTTCTTTTTTCATTTATTTTTTTTCCATTACCTTGCCTATGCGTCTTAGAGCTCTTCACGCTTTATTTTCACAAAGCTTTAATTTTGTGTATTCCATTTGCGTCCTGTTCAATTCCCGATTCGGCGAAATTCTTACCTGGATGGAGCAACTCTTCGTCTTAGGAGAAAAAATTGCTATTGATGAAAATTACTTTCCGGGTTCAATTCCTGGACCGATAAAATTATGTGGCTGTACGAAGCCTGCGTTTGTCACCGGCGTATATTTTTAACAGGTTCACGATAATGGATATTACCATCAAATCGCAGAACAAAATCTAAATTATTCCTTTGATTTCAAAAATTTTAATCGGTTTAAGTACCTGGTTATTGAAACGATGGTCTCAATTCACGACTTAAAAAAATATTTCTCACTTGTTGAAATTCCCAATACAAAAAAAATAAATTCACGACGCCTGAATATAAAGATCTGGTGATTCGAATGCTACATTAAAAAAAATTATAACCAAGATCTTAAAACCAAATGTTTCATTGATTAAATTCCCGATTACTGGACCTAAAAACGTGGATCCAATTGGATTTACAAACCAAAAAAAAAATTCGCTCAATCAGAAATATTTTATATTTTATAAAAAATTTAGACGTGGCTACTAATTACAATATATATATTTAAAACCAAGTTTAAAAATATATTTCGCACTTAGCGGAAACATGAAAATCCCAAAAGATAATTAATAAATTCAAAAATATCAAGATCTAGTTTCAAAGCCCACATAGAAAAAGAAATCCTAACTAAGACCTTTAATTTCAACATTTTTTGTCAGTTTAAGTTCCCGATTACTGGCTCTTAAGTTTAGAATTCAAGTCCCAGGTCTATAAATATTTAGCTCACTTAGGAATAAATTTTTCGTAAAAAAAATTTAGACTATTTAAATTCACGGCCATTAATTACAAAGACCGGGTTGAAAAACATATTTCCCACAGAGCTGTAATATTTCAATTCATAATAGACAGAAATAAATATTTTTCGCTATTTGGGCCACAATATTTGCGGTACATAATTTTTAGATAACTTCAAATTCGAGGGTACTAGATGCGAAGACCAATTCCCAAATGGTTTATTTTTCCGGTTATTCGCGACTACGAAATATTCAGCTGAGTAAAATTCTCAGGTTGAAATAGATAATATCCACACGCAATTCGCGTTTGTCTCTCTCAAAAAGTTATGAAATTCAGGCTTTGAAAATAGTCCCGTCCGGAAAGACAAAGAAAATAGGACCAACTCATAAGAACATTGACGCTCCATAAAAAGATTCTTAATTATAACGTAATATCATTTTCAAACTTAAAAATGCCGTAGTAAATATGAATTCGATACAAAAATGGCTTGCGATGCAAATGTTCTTCAATTTGTTTAGTTTTTCTGCCCTCTCACAGCGTCGGTGTCGCCATAGTCGTTTTTATCCTACAATTTTTGACCCAAGCGACACATTATTTACAACGTGCCGTTTTGTTTAGATTTTCAAAACCTTTGTCGACTCGCGGAACCGCGAAGCACGATGTAGAGTCCTACTTGGACCCCGAAGTCTTTGCTCCTGACCCGGCAGACCTCTACGACGAACCCAATGATGGCTACGTCAATAAAATACTTCTTATGAGGTAAGTGGACCTCTTAATGTAAGGTCTTACAACTCTAGTGGACAATATTTGAGGAGTTACCTATAAGACATTATTAAAAGATCATTCTCGAATACATGCTCCCATGTTAAAAAAGACAAAATATGGAACACATCTCATTTCAAAATAATAAAATTAAAAAATAATAATTCAACTGAAATTTTTAAGGACTACAATTTCTCAGAAACTCCAAAATATTGGCACATTTTTGCAAGACTTTATTATCTTATTATTTGCTATTTTTCACATAGGATGAAAATTACATTTTTAAAAAAATAAAAAAGTCTTACTAATTGCCTAACTGAAAAGATTCTAAGTGAAAAATATCGCTATAATATTTGTTGTTTCATAATTGTGTTTCATCATTATTCCAACCAGCAAATCAACCGTCAGACCACATTTTGAACCATGTTTTTTTTTATTCAGCCGTTCGACACCATTCATACATTCAGCACAGCAAACTAGTTCTTGTTCGAGCTACGAGACTTTAAGGACTTTTGCTAACAGCTACGATTGGCCTTCCTGACAACCGACCGAGGAATTAAATTGTTCGGACTTCCAATTCAAAACTTTCGACAGTGTAAAGTATGTTGGTCCGAGTGACTTTTTTACAAATAATCTTTGCGAAAATCCAATGGCTGTGTAATTTTATACACAAGTCATTTATTGTTTAACAAAAATCCTTATTAGTCTAATCAGCTAGCGCTTTTTGCGTCAACTTTATTGTAGCAGTGTCGAATTATTGTACCAATGGTACTTAAATAAAAAATAAAGTACCTGAGTAAAGGTCTTTGAGTGAAATGGACAATACCTAGTTCGATTCTCTGTACAATAAATGTCTGGGACAAATATATTTTCTATTATTTATGTTAAAAGCATTTGAAATATGTTCGAAGTGGGCGTGGCTCGTGTTAACTAGGACAGCTATTTTCGGACGTATTTTCTCTCTTCTAGAAAAAATGTTAATAAAGATTGTAGGTACAGTTACAAAAGAAATTTACTGAGAATTTTCTTTTAATTTCGTTTTAGATATCAGAATTATTAATTAGTTTTTTTGATACTAGCAAAAACCAAATCAATCATAAATTATCCGACATTGTTAAAATAAGTTAAACAAGAAAGCACTAGCTGAGTAGACTATAATTATCAAAAATTGCATTTTACATTACGTTGAAAATCAAACTGATTTTTTTTATCAATCATTTTTGATCGATTTATCATAATTTCACAAAAATTCTAAAAGTACTTAAAAATATAAAGCACCCAGAAATCAGTATGATTTTTTACTAATTAACACATTAAAGTAGGTTTTCTATTTAATGCATTATTATATTAACTTATAAAGCAAGAGGTGTAATGGTGCGTCCACGTCTAGCGCATGCGGCGCTTGCGCAAGCTGCGTATACGCATGTGGAGTAATCGACATGGAAGCGGGCGGTTATAATAAAATACCTACCTTAACCAGTAATAGGGTTGTGTCTTAGAAATATCTCTAATAGATTTTAAAATATACCGGTGGTACAATATTTCTCCTTGATCTATTTACCTAGTTTTCACCTCGTACGCAGATTGTTACAAATACAATTAAATTGCAAGGTGATTTGCATTTATCTCCCCTTTAAAGCTACGACTACATTACTTCGAGACAGCGGGAGCGGATAAAATAAAAAAAAAACACTTAATAGTCAAACATAAAACAAGTTACATTATTTTTTTTTATATAATAAACCCCGGTTATTAACATCCTTTAATTAGTTCGTCAAAATCCTGGGAGCTTTTAAAGTATACATCCGAATTTTCATAAAACGAATTTGACAATAAATAACATAGGCGTTTATAATACGTCGATTCGATAGATCGATTCTTAAATATTGATTAATTCGAGACTTATCGATAAATATGTCAATTCGTGTGTTAACACAATGTGTGTACAGCCTTAAAGTTAACTGGTGATAATGATATCGTGTACCGTATTGCACGTTGCCTCATGTCGACACGGCAGCGCAATGACATGCATCTGACACATCCGCCACTCAATGAATTGCTCAGAAATGTGCTGTGTCGCACAAGGACAATTCAAGGTACTGACTATGGGAACTCTACAAGCAAACTAGCTTCTGCCAGCGACCTCGCCCGTGTTCCTGTGAAATGAAAAGTTTCTTAATCTACCCCTGTGCCAAATTACAACCCGATCACTTCAGACGTTCTGACGTGACTGACGAACAAACATAAATACAACTTCAGTCACAAACTATCGCAGTTTTCATTTCAGTAAAATTGTAGGCAAGTGAAAGTATGCAGAATGAATAAAGAGCGATATAATCAGAATACCTATCAATACCTAATTAATTGGGATTCTGAAATACAATTATATTTTTCTGTTTGACATCAAAAGGTTTCGTGGAACGCCATATTATTTTTGTACGTTCAATACCTACACGTCTGTTTATTGTTCAGAAATGTCCTTCGAACAATAATTTGTCCTTTGAACGTTTACAAAATTTAAATACTACCTACGTAATCATAGGAACAGAGTCATAAGGTTTATTATAAAAAAATACACCTAGTTGTACACGAGGACTATAAGAAAAATATGAAGTGTCAAAACGGAAATTATTTTTTTGCTGATAACCGATCAACTTTAGAGTTCTGTTGTTTCTGATTTTTATCATCGTTATTGGGTTCGAAATAAGGTACTTAGCGAATAAGTAAAACAAAAAAGCTGAAAAGTAATGAAAAAGACAAAAGAGATAAAATACAGCGCGTGAATACAAAAGTGCAACTGTGTAACTCACGTAAAAATGCTCATGTTTTTACTCTCAGCGGAAACAATGTGTGCATGTAATCATCGTAGCACACATCGGGCTACGGCGTAGCTCGTAGCCCGTAGCAAAGTGGTGTTGCTCGTCGCACCCTTCATAATTCATACAGTTGCACTCACGCCTCACGTAGTTTACCCCGGCTTAGTTACGCTCACTTAGCGCAAACAAGGGCTGTAATATTACGAAAACTTTTGGAAATTGCGTAATTGTTCGGTACTTGAATTTGAATGGGTTAAATTAAAGTTTGCCCGCAAAATATGACAATGTTTTAAAACGTCTTGTTATGCAGTTCTATGAATTACGTATCCCATATATGAATAATTCGCACAAAATAAATAGTGCCGTGGGAAAAGGTTTAGTATAGACCTGCTTGATTATTTTTTTTATGAACCGCGATTAAATGGTAGTTTGCTCCATTGTCTAAGTCGTCAACGTTTTCCATGTACTTATATTTCATTTTATTATCGAATAGAAATTAATTTCTCAATAAGGAAGACATTTAGTTATCGAATTACTTCATATGTAAATTATAGTTATTAGGTTTTACACCATACGAACCTCTTGCTACTAATATAATGCATTATATAGTCAACCTGCTGCATCTTTTTGACATTTTGTTTTCACATTGGCATCATTAGCTTAAGTTTCATACACCTGTGTGGTCTCAATTACTTTGTGTTTTTACTACTAATTTGTCTAAATTATGAAATTTTTAGTTGAATCCGACGTGTGTTTTTAAAATAAAAGATTGTTACTTAAAACGGCATGGAATAGCGATTACATGAATTAAATGTTGTTTTGGGGTCAAAAATAATTGAGGACTTCAAGAAGTTGTTTGATATGCGCCGGCGCCGGTACACCAGTCATACAGTTGTTACATAATATACATACATTGGTTAATATGAGAACAAATAATAAAATGAAGGATTTCTATGAACTCGCAACTTAATGGCAGGAACTAATTTTAAAGATTTAATTTAATCAACTACGTCATCAATTCTTAATCAAATAACAAGTTACTCAAATTTTCTACTGAATTCATAACTATTCAGAAAAAACAACTATTTTTATTTTAACCAGTTTCACTCGTTCTATGCGCTTGCGCATGTCGGGCGGACTGGAATTAGGTTTTGTCTAACTTAATATCTTAGAACCTGATATTTAAAAAAAATATTTTTTATTTAGAGTTCACGAATATACGTTTAATTTAGTTATAAAAAAAATTGCAACTTATTGCTAAGTTTATGCAAAATATGTACTACAACTACTGATTGCGCTACGAGCTACTACGGCTACGAAAAGCTGTAGCGCTACGAACGCGATATTGACATGCTACGTTGCGCATAGGTTTACTAATGATCTATGTTAGGAAACTCGGGTCTTGAATGAGAGTCAGAACTCAAGCTCTTCAGAGTCTGGAGTCTTTTATAAAAAGACCCAGTTCTGCCAAAAAGAATTCGAATGATCGAGTCTTTTTAAAAGGTTTCATAAATAAAACTTCTAAAGCAATAGTAATTGTTAGATGCAAAAGCAAATAAAATGACAATGAACAAGTTACTGATTTGTCTAGTACATATTCATCTGTAGGTCGTATGTGACCAGATTAAAAGGTGTCCACGTTTGCGCCCCGTCTGTTACACATTTTTTGTGTGATTTATTTTCAATTATTAAATACAACTTAAATATGGGTGGCGATATTAAATCACCTACTGCAACATATAACTCAAGACTCAGTATACCTCAACGAGCTTAAATCTCGAAAAGACTGAAGACTCAAAGGTTTCGGGACTCGACAGACTATTGAGTTCTAGTTTTCAAAGTTGACTACAAGACTCGACTTTCTTACAACTCTAGGTCTAAGTTTAAATGAGATGAAGATTACAACACTAATTCATTACTTGGCAGTAAACGGCACAGAATTTTGTCATAATATTTAGAAATTAAACAAATCATTTTTTATTTTCTAAAATAGACAGGTATCCGTAATTGGCAGGAAAAAAATTACGAAATTAACAAATTCAAACCTTTCTTTTCATGATTTTGAAAGAAGTACAACAGTTAGCGATCTCGGCTTTATATATTTATAGGCCTTTCCCCGCCTGCATCAGAATCGGCCATTGCGTGGGTATTTGGGCATATAATAAGATAAAACACCCGAGTCAAATTATAAGATTGCACAGAACTTTGACGGTTCGTTGGAGATGTCTCGCGCACGCCATTCATAACCGTAGTCTGGTTCAAAAATATGGCGGCGCTGTTCTCGACATGACGCTCCGTCAGAATGACTTCTGTGGCTAGATGTCATCCTAGTTCCAAAAGAAATAATAGACGGTGCTGTGGCTGCGCCGTCATATGCAAATAAGTTCTAATCGTGTTAAACTGACTATTTATCAAATGACATGCCACCTCGCTTTTTTTAGTAATATCAGGCTACGTCTAATTTCGAGCCAAACGAGGGCTCATATAATCTTGAGAAACATGTGCGACAATCGAATAAAAAATATAACATAACATAAGCAGGCAGGCAGGCAGGCAGGCAGTTGTTC